GCTATCGGGCTCAAGTGAATCCCTAAATGACTGTAAAAAATGTAGGAGCACACTCGAGGGAAATCGGAGGAGTGAAAAGAAGGTATGAGATGGATCTGGCAAGTAAGGTTAAAGATAATCCCACGAGGTTCTATAGTTATATTAAGAGTAAAAGGGTGACTAGGAAGCGAATAGGTCCCCTTAAAGATCAGCATGGCTGTCTCTGTGTGGAACCACAGGAGACGGGCGAGGTTTTTAATGAATAATCCTCCTCCGTGTTTACTGATGAGAGAATCATGAATGCCAAGGGAAAAAGGAAAGCCAGTGGGGATGTTTTGGACTGTATACACATTATCAGAGGGGAGGTGTTTGCAGCTTGAAGTGCATTAGGATGGATAAATCCCCTGGGCCTGATCAGTTCTGTTCTCGGACGTTGAGGGAGGCTAGAGAAGACATTGCAGAGATTTTTGCTTCATCTTTAGCCACTGATGAAGTTCCAGAAGACTAGAAGGTGGCTAATGTTGGTCCATTGCTTAAGAAAGGAGCAAAGACAAGCCAGGGAACTACAGGCCAGTGAGCCTGATATCAGTGATAGGCAAGTAATTGGAGAGGATACTGAGAGACAGGATCAACCACCATTTGGATAGTCAAGGTCTGATTAGGGATAGTCAGCATGGATTTGTGTGCGGAAGGTCATGCCTGACAAAGTCTTTGAGTTTTTCGAAGACGTAACAAAGTGGATGGAATAGGCTAGGGCAATGGATATTGTCAATGTGGATTTTAGTGAGGCCTTTGACATGGTCCCACACGGCAGGCTAGTCATGAAAGTTAGGTCGCGTGGGATCCAGGGAGAGCTAACTAATTGGATTCAAAATTGGTTTGATCGTAGGAAGCAGAGGGTGATGGTTGAGATAGCACAGGGTGGAGCTGGAGGAACACAGCAGGCCAGGCAGCATCAGAGGAGCAGAAAAGTTGACATTTTGCGTCGGGACCCTTCTTCAGAAATGAGGAGGGGAAGGGAGCTCAGAAATAAATAGAGAGATGAGGGGTGGGGCTGCGGAAGGTAGGTGGGATAGTGATAGGTGAGTGCAGGTAGGGAGTGGTGGGGATTAATTAATGAGGTGGGAGGGATGGATAAACGAGAGAAGATGGCCAGGTTGTGCCAGGTCAAGGAGACGGGGATGAGATGGAAGGTTGGTCATGGGATGAGGCCGGGGATGGGGAGATCTTGAAACTGGTAAAATCCACATTTAGGCCATTGGGCTGTAGGCTCCTGAGGCAGAATATGAGGTGCTGCTGCTCCAGTTTGTGGGTGGTGGCATTGTGACACTGGAGGAGGCCCAGGATGGACATGTCACCCAGGGAGTGGGAGGGGGAGTTGAAGTGGTTCGCGACTGGAAGGTGTTATCGTTTGTCGCGAACAGAGTGCAGGTCCTGTACAGAACAGTCTCCGCTTAGTCTCACCAATGTAGAGGAGGCCACGTCGGGAGGAGCAAATGCAATAGACCACATTGTCGGATATGCAGGTGAACCTCTGTCTGATGTGGAAGGTTTGTTTGGTGCCTTGGATGGAGGTGAGGGGGGAGGTGTAGGGGCAGGTGTAGCACTTCCTGCGGTTGCAGGGAAAGGTGCTGGGGCTGGTGGGGCTCGTGGGGAGTGTGGATTAGACCAGGGAGTCATGGATAGAGCGGTCCCTAAGAAAGGCAGATAAGGGTGGGAAGGGAAATATATCTTTGGTTGTGGGGTCTGATTGTAGATGGCGGAAGTGGCAGGGAAGGATACGTTGGATATGGAGGTTGGTGGGGTGATATGTGAGGACAAGGGGGATTTTGTCTTTTGTCTTTGTTTTTGTTGAGGGGAGGGGATATGACGGCAGAGTTGCGGGAAACGCAAGAGATGCAGTTGAGAGCATTTTTGACCCTAAAGCAGGGGAAGTTGCGTTCCTTGAAATAAGAGGACATCTGGGATGTGCGGGAGTGGAATGCCCCATCTTGGGAGCAGACGCGGCGGAGGAATTGGGAGTAGGGATCGCATTCTTGCAGGAAGGTGGGTGAGAAGAGGTGTAGTCTAGGTAGCTGTGGGAGTCGGTGGCCTTGAAATAGATGTCGGTTTTGAGGCAGTCACCAGAGATGGAGACAGAGGTGTCCAAGAAGGAGAGGGAGGTATCGGAGATGGTCCAGGTGAATTTGAGGTTGGGGAGGAAGGTGTTAGTAAAGTTGATGAACTGTTTCTCGGACTGGAGGCCTGTGACTAGTGGTGTGCCACAGGGGTTGGTGCTGGGACCTTTTTGTTATTTGTTATTTACATAAATGATGTGAATGTACAAGGCATGATTAGTAAGTTTGCGGATGATACAAAGTTAGGCGGTATCATTGATAGCAAAGAAGATTATCAAAAATTACAGAGGGATCCTGATCAGATGAGGAAGTGGGCTGAGGATTGGCAAATGCAATTCAATAAAGATAAGCGTGAGGTGTTGCACTTCCGAAAGTCAGACCACGGTAGGACTTATACAGTAAATGGTAAAGTCCTGAAGAATGTTGTGGATCAGAGGGACCTAGGAGTACAAATACATAGTTCCTTGAAAGCGGTGTCGCAAGTGGACAAGGTGGTAAAGAAGGCATTTGGCATGCAGGCCTTCGTCAGCAAAGGCATTGAGAGTAGGTGTTGGGACATTATGTTCCAATTGTATAAGTCGTTGGTGAGACTGCACTTGGAGTATTGTGTGCAGTTTTGGTCACCCTGTTACAAGAAAGACATAGTTAAAGTGGAAAGTGTACAAAGAAGATTTATGAGGATGTTGTGAGGATTAGTAGGTCTGAATTATAGGGAGAGGTTGTCCAGGATAGGACTTTATTCCTTGAAATATCGGAGAATGAGGGGTGACGTTACTGAGATTTATAGAATCATGAGGGGCAAAGACAGGATGAATACGTATAATCTTTTTCCCAGGGATTGAGAATTGAAAACTACAGGGCATATGTTTAAGAGACAACAAGGTGCAGGGCTGGATGAACACAGCAGGCCAAGCAGCATCATAGGAGCAGAGAGGCTGACGTTTCGGGCCTAGACCCTT